AGAGTAAACTCATTTTGTGTTATAATAAACTTTGTCATTGCAAATGAAATGTACCACCTGGCTTAATTATGTTATATATACGCTATATGCCGATATAATAGGTGTGTCTGTCCATTACTTGAGTAAGTACACCAGAGAGCTAGAGAATAAGAGTATATTTGGAACCTGGTCAGAACAGCTAGAGAGGACTCTTCCTCACTGTAGCCACAGCTGTAAGGGTATTTCTGAAATAGACATCAGGACTCATTTGGGAGAGCACTGAACAAGTTGGCAACTGCCCTGGATCAACTTTTAAGCAACTCCTGTGACTCTGGGACCTTTCCTACCCAGGTAACCTCAGAGCTTAGAGTAGCACGTGCAGAAGGTGAAGATGGTGAACCACTGCAGGATCAGATCAATGGAGACGATAGGTGGTAGAGCTGCCAACAACAGAAGTCTGCAAGAACAGGTTAGAAGATACGGCTTAAGTGCCTGCCTTGTGACTGGGGATGTGCTGGGTTACCTCGCAGGATCCCATAGTCCTCTTGTGACCTAGCAGTGTGTTTTCATGGTTGCAGAATGACAGGTATGAAAACAGCCTGGATTTTCAGGAAAATGGCCACAGATTATTAATGTGTGCTTTTGGAGAAGTGTTTTTTGTCCATATTTTACTCAAGTGTAAACTGACAGTTTTACATTTTAATAACTGAATAGAAGTTTTGGAGCCTTGATGGTGTAGAGCTTGTAGTTACAATATTAGATACATTCCTCAAAAGTGCTGGGAGCACCACAGAGCACATGCTGGTACTGCTGATGGTATTTCAAACCATACAGACATAAAAAAAACCCCTGGAAGTGTCCACTTGCCTGGATGAGGCTGCTGTGCCTCATATCTACAGCCAGTTTGGAGTCAACTTGTTTGGCTTCTCTGTGTGGTGGAGGTCAGTTTCAGCCAGACTGGTTGCAAGCAGGCTGAGCAGAGAGAAAAGCGCACTGCTGGGCCAGGCACCTCATGACTCCCATCTCCATCAGTCCTCAAAGTCTCTTGGGTACAAACAGGGATTCCTTGTGTGGGGTGAGGATTAGTCCATTTGAAGCAGCAGGGGAGCTGGGTTTGAAGCTTCAGGGGGAAGGAAGTGCAGCAGAAAGTGGGGACGAAGAAGATGAAGACACGCTACTTTCTGAATGTGCATATGGCCTGGCACGAAACCAGGAGCTACTGTGGCGAACTGATATTGTAAGCTGGCGTTGGTATTTGTGGGTGGAACTGAGTAAAACCACCAATGAATATGGGTGAATTTGGGATTCTCTGTACACAGTTTCAGTATCTGTTGTTGATGACCCCATGTTACTATAAAAAATAATCTAATGTACAAAAATAATGCATAAGAAGAGTATTACAGATGTTCAACAGGGCTGACAAGACTGATGGAATCCTAACTTTTAAGCTGAACAAGTGATACAGTTTTTACAATGGCATTAAAGAGTGTTTTGCATGAATCTACTTTTTTTTTTTTTTTCTAGAAGAGACTGTGACATGAATTATATGAAGTGAAATTTGAAGTTCATGCTTACAGATAGAATGGGTTTTTCTCCTTTTGCTGCTGATGCTATTTAGAGGTGACTTTCTGAGACAAGGTTATCAGCCACAGCAGAGAAAAGCACAGAAAACACAGCTTGATCTGTCTTGTATGGAAGGAATTTGCAAAGTTTCCATTCTATTCCACTGAGGCTGAATTAAACCTTTCCTATTAAGCAAAATTGATTTTAGAACGTAACAACTACTAGCAGCCCTGACAGTCTCAAGGATTTCTCTAACCTTTCTTCACTTTTAATGCCTGTGAGGAAATACTCTCTTGGGAAAGAAAACTCCATGTTTATCTCCAAATTTGCTTACATCTTGCTGTGAAATGTCTGTTACCAAACAGTTCTGGAGACAGTATGTCAGACTAAATAGACCCAGGAAACGTTCTGTCATCCCATGAGCTCTTAACCTAAGTTAAGAGGAGAGGAGTCAGACTAGATTTGTCACAAACCCTACCTGGATCCCCGTGGGATAAGAGTGATGTTGGTGTTGAAGCCTGCTCCATACGTGCAAACTTAAGGGCTGTGGGCAGATCCCTGTCACACAGAATGAGGATAGTCCAGGACAGCCCAGTCGTCAAAGTAATACTGAGAAAAGTGAATATAGCTCATGATTTTTTTTCCCATGTTGCATTATGCATTTTAAAGGTTTTGTTTTGTTTTGGGGTTTGGGGTTTTTTGTGCATTTCCTAGCAGAAATAGGAAAGTAATGGCCATGTTGAGACTGTCTAGATGAGACAGGACGCTGGAGAGCGGAAGTTGGGCGGTGGATTTGGCCAGGCTCCAGGGCTAACCCCCCGGCCGGGGTGTGCAGGGGCCTTGCCATTTCCCCTCCTTCACCAAGCCACCGCCCCCCAATAGGAAAGTAATGGCCATGTTGAGACTGTCTAGATGAGACAGGACGCTGGAGAGCGGAAGTTGGGCGGTGGATTTGGCCAGGCTCCAGGGCTAACCCCCCGGCCGGGGTGTGCAGGGGCCTTGCCATTTCCCCTCCTTCACCA